AGATTTCGGCGAATGATATTCATTTTCTCGTTCTCTGTAGGTTGATTTGCCAAACAGCTGAATAGATTCTCCATTATCGATATGAAAATAACCACCTTCTCATCGCGCCCCTGAGATCTACTCCGTATTTCTTGCCATAATAAGTCATCATAGTCTGAGGGCAAAAAATCTTGTCGTAGAGCTTTGACCAAATCACTCCAACTATCGAATCTCCCTAACCTCACTTGTGAGCGATACCATTCCCTAGCAACTCCATCAAACAAATCTACTGCTGATTTGAATAATTCTCCTTCCGTACAATTCCTAGCAATACGTAGTTCCTCTATTCGCTGCAAAAATGAACTAACTGAACACCTGGCAGCATTGCCATCGAAAGTTATACCCCACTTACAGACCGGTATCGATTTCGGGTTCGAATCAGGGACAGAATTTGTTAGATCCGCCGAATGAGTACCCACAACTACACCACCCATATGTCGATCTCTGGCTTCCTCTAACTCATCCATCAATACCGCAGCTCTAACAATATTGTCACCTCTGTAGTTGCGACATCTCTCCTCTACTTCCGGCACACGAGAAAGCCTACCCTGTACATGGTATATTCTACTTCTAAGGCGATTGAAGGTCTCTATATTACTACCATCAAAATTATCAACAGCTTCAGTTATAGTCATCATACTTTCATCTATCTCAGCTTTCTCTAATTCAAAATTAAAGTTAGGTGTGGTATAAAGAACACCTGATCGTGACATGTCTTTTTTCAGTTCTCGCCTAAGATATTTTCTTTTCATTGATATATCTACTTTATCAGTGGAAACATCCCGGATTCTTAGTTCATAATTAATCTCATAAACTCTCAAATGATTGGGATCCATATCGTAATTCATACTGCTAGCCATTCTTATTGTAGGTATGTATATATATTTAATTTTTTTTTCAACGTGAATATATTTTATAGTCTCCCTGTATATAGGTACTCAAGTTAATTTAGTAGGAAACCGTCAACACCACAACATCTAGAAATTGACTATTCGAATAAAAATCTCAATCAGGCAAAGTCAAATAAATCCTGTATACGACATATGTGAAGGTTTTCCTTCCACCCTGTATAAAGTCATGCACTGCTATGTTAAAATATGGAAAATAGAATATGCAACAGGTTTTTTTTTTTTTTTTTTTTTTTTTTTTTAAGGGGCTGCTTGTGGAATGTCAAAATAACTTTTGACTAATTTTTTTTTTTTCAATGTTTTGTACGAGGGATATGGAATAGGGATGAGAAATGCTTACTTCTTGCCGGCTAGAACAACTTCCGGATATAAAGCAATTACAAAAATTTAAAACTATAGAAATGACTAGTTATTGAATCAAAGGCCCCATAAGTTGAGGCGCCATTTTTGTGACCTCTAGTTAGATTTTATAACCATAAAGTACTTGACCTCTAGTTAGATTTTATTACCACAAAGTACTTACGTCACAGCACGACAGCTTTAAAAGCCGGAGGCTGGGTAGTAGGTTCTAGTTGAGATTTGTGTAAGCAGAGGGCGCCAGCCAATATTCACATTGACAGGAGGGGATTCGTACAAAACCGCAAAATATTGTTGATTGAATACTAATTATTTAATTTAAAAGTAATAATATAGCACAAGAATTGAAGAGTGGTTAATTGAATGATGTACCTAAATGAGAACACCTACCAACTTAAACTATACAAATATGATTCATGAGTGAAATCAGAGTATGAGCAGTTGAGATATCTTTTAGAAATGTATATATATATATATGATTACATACACAATTAACATTATATAAGTAAACCTTTGTTCACTACAAGAAAGTATATATTTATACTATATCACCCTGAGGATGAATGATTCAACGTGGGTTGATATACTTTTCAAACAGCTGTTCTTAAAGTTTACAGTGAGTTGAATTGAAAAAGTATCTAATTATTCAGGATTGTTATATACTATACGAATTTTTTATATATCTATAAGGGTGTGATTTCAAGGCGAAGATTATAAAATGGCAACCAGGTTATTTTCTTCCCAAAATCACAGCTTTTACTATTAAGTCCACAAGCAGCTATCTGGCCTTCGCACGGTATTAAAAGTTGGAACGTACTCACAGTTACTTTGTTGATTTATTTTAGTTTAGTTGGTTCCACATCGAACGCCCAGTACATTATCAAACCATACAGTTTCAGCTAAAGTTTCCTTTCATCAGCTTCCTCCTTTAAGTATTTCAATTTTGTTTTGGTCTCGCCTCGTTTCCTTTCCTCTATGGCTGAATATTACAAATTTGCCAAATATGCCCAAATTGACTATTTAATTGCTTCAGTTGTTATAAAGCTGGTTTAATATTATCTTGAAAGGCCTAGAATTGTTTGGCATACATAAAAAGTGTGAAATTACTAATGGTTAGACTCAATAACGATCACATGAACGAAAAATAATAAATACTCTTTTTATGATAATCATTGAATGTCAGTATTGATTGATTTTTATTTCCTTTTCTTTTCTTTCTTTTTATTAAGCATGCAAGTTATGACTATGTGAAAATCAACAAATATAATGTATGATTAAATGTTATTATTATCGAATTATATAAATACAGTGAAAAGAAGGAAGATTACCTGTAGATGAAATTCGGCCTTTCCAATCTCAGATTTCAGATCTTTACCGGATTGTTTCTCGTGATCAAATAGCTCGGCGAATTCAGATAGATGGCAAAAACGAGACGAGTCCCAAAAAACTTGCTCATTGCTGGCGATAGCAATCCTCGCGTTCGATATATGATTTTAAATAAAACGTTATACAGGGTGTCTCAGACAAAGGCGAACAATGGAAAATTCAAAATTGCCGATTGAGATTCTTACTCAACATATGGACCGTTGCAATCCTCGCGTTCGATATATGATTTTAAATATAACGTTATACAGGGTGTCTCAGACAAAGGCGAACAATGGAAAATTCAAAATTGCCGATTGAGATTCTTACTCAACATATGGACCGTTACAACATGTTTGTAGCAAGTCAAGGTACAATAGATTTTATTATTATCGTGAAAACACCCAAGTATACATGTTAATAAATTACAATTTAAAAACGGACATTGAAGAAAACAGACATTGAAGAACAAAACAGATTAAAATGACACACATATTGTGTGCTGTAATGGTGACATATACATGTATGTACGTGATTCAAAAGTTTCACATATACCGTCTTATACGCAAAATACTCAAGAACAATACCCTGAAGAGAATTGAGTCATAACTACTTATTTTTATAGATATGTTTATGAAGTTGGGGTGAGCATCATGTTATTCATGGTTAAATGAAAGAAATTCATCAATTGAATAGAAAACATTATTTTGGGTTTTTTCTTGATTTAGTTTGAGATTATTAGTACTGAACCAGGTATAAGCTTTGTTTTTTGCTTGCTTAGTGAGATTGTTTAGTGTGATACGGTTAAAATGAGTTTCAATTAATGTCTTGTCATCAGCGAAGCAAATACACCCAGAAGGGGACAAGTAGTGAAAAATGTCCTTGAGATAAATAATAAATAACAATGGTCTCAGCACACTTCCCTGCGGGACTCCGTGGTTAATGTACTGGAATTTAGAGACATTGTTTTCGATGGCAACACACTGAATTCTGTTATCGAGATAGGATTTCAGCAGTTTCAAAGGTACTCCCCGCACACCATAGAAGTTTAATTCATCCAGTAATTTTAGATGCGATACACAGTTGGAGGCATTGGATAGGTCACACAAGGTGATATCATTGTGTTTACCATTCTCAAGGCCCTCGACTATGTTTGCCACAATAGAGCTTACAGCCTGAATAGTGGAGCATTTTGGCCGGAAACCAAACTGTCTCTTATCAAGAGTGTTATTTTCATTAAAAAAGAGCAGCAATCGTTCCTTCAGGATTATTTCGAAAATCTTTCCGATAATCGGAATTATGGAGGTGGGTCTGAAATTTGTGGCTAGATCAGGGTCTCCTTTTTTATATATTGGGAGTACCTTTGTAATTTTTAGATTGTCAGGGAAGATTCCATGGAGGAGGTTTATCGAACCATTGTCGTTCTAGATGACAACCTAGTTAGGTAGTTAGTAGGCATGGTGATCAAACCTTTCCACAAGTATTTCCAATCCTTCAGGTTGGGAAATTAGGATATAAATAATAGGCAAGCCAATTTAGGTTTTATTATATTATAACATTATTTTTCACATGAAGAAGCTACTGTGTTATTTTGTTGAAATATTATCCTTTGTGGAGTTTTTTACATCTACTATGGATTTCCATCAAGATAAATACAATTTTCTACAAGGGGAGTGTTTTTTAAGCAAAAAAAATTAGTTATCGTGAAGAAATGGCCCACCTACACCAAGAAGAATATTACGCAAATTTTACAAAATCTGGGTGTCACATATCCACGAACTAATATTTTGTTACAGAAACAAAATAATTTTGGTATTTTACACTTGAAAATGTATTTATTGTTCAGATGTTCAGCTTTATTTGGAAATCTTCATGAACAGGTCATGAAAAAAAGTTATATTGTCTAACGAGCACGAAATTATAGTTAATTCCCACGAGTCCCACGAATCATACGATCGGGAAATCAGCATTCCGAGCAAGTTATACACTTTACTTTTTCTACGGCAGTAACAGATATCAGCTGAATTTTTGATTTTTTATGCTTGTATACATATAGTCATCTGGTTTTTTCTTGAGTAATGCTCGTCTGTGAGAAAGAGTTGTCATCGCTTGAAATTTGACATTTCATGGGAGATGAGATTTTGTGAAATAATAATACACAATGAAGTCATTGTGATACCAGATAAGGTAATGAAATTGATGTATCGAACACATTGAAACATGCAAGAGCAATTTTGTGTTATAGCCGTAGAAAAATGATATTGTTGTTCCCTTTTATATTTCGATCTCAATCTTGACTGGAGACGTTTGATTACCTTCTGTTATTATTTACAGGAAATGGGGTCGATACCGCAACTATCAGTCCTCAAAGGAATCACCAGACAACTGAAAGTTGACACATTGAGCAATCTGTTCGAAGATGTTGCTACAGGACATTGCGAGAATAATACTGCACTCATCTTTGAAGGTGAATATTACGATATCGAGTTTTGACTTATTATTATTATTGCAATCTCTTGCATCACATCCTTCAATTTCAATTGTGTTCAGTGATTTCACAAACACAGCGAAAATAACTACATTGTCGGATCGGTGTATAAAATATTGTTTTGACTATTATTGAATTAGGGAAAAATGTTTTATTCGTACATGGACTGCTATAAAAAGTTCATTTTGGTCATCCATAACCATAAGGAAGTTACCTACTGTGAATGATATCGACTTGCCTACTAAATTGAGAGATTGTTTCGTGAAGTATCTGTATTGGATACTTAATTTTCATGAAGAAAAAGTTCAGTCATACAGGAAATATGTATTTTTCATTGATATGTCACCAAGAAGTCAATTTCATTATCAACTTCTCACCAGAATCTCAGTTGGTCGTTGACTGTATCTTCGTACACTTTCTTTCTCCTGCAAATTTCGAAATCCTATCACAATAAATACGTAAGATACGGGAGGGTGCTTTCATGAAAAGGGAGAAAAAAGCACAGTATTCTGTGACAAAAGCAAATTTCTCATGCAGAACTGAAAATTATCCAGGAAATATATTTTTTTTTATTTTTTTTTTATTCAATTCACATAGGTTACCCAACAGGGTAATGAAACTCCAATTATAGGCTTACACATCCGATTTGATAGAGTCTACACTTTGTAAGTTGATATAGAGAAACTAAAATAATATCCTAAAAATTATCACCAAAAATAAACATAAATACAAAAATCAAAAAACAAAAAAGTACCAAAAAAGTATTGGACTGAAAATTTGGATACCGTCATGAATCAATTCAAATCGAAAACTTGTCCAGATTCTTTCCTGACTCTATGTAAAGTGCTATTGAACAGATCGATGTGGCTGAAATATGAGTTATATAAATCTTGTACCATGTATAGAGGTGAACTTCTTGCATAGTTCGTCTTATGATTTGGTAGGTAGAACAAATTATGTGAGCGGGTAACGTGTGTGAGTACATTGAACGAGAGCCTGTTGACTTTGTAACTACTGTCTACTCTGTCGCTGAGAATTTTGAAAAGAAATATAACGTAGCTTACAATCCTCCGAGAGGAAAGTTTGCTGAGATTGAAATGTTGTAAGCGACTCTCGTATAATAAGTGAGTTTGAGGTCTCTTGAACTTGAAAAACAATATATTCATGAACTTCATTTGAACTCTCTCTACTCGTTCAAATGTATTTATAATAGTAGGGGTTCCATACTATCGATGCGAACTCGAGGTGGCTCCTAACTAGAGAGTTGTATAATATCAACAACGACTTTGGATTTTTAAATGATTTAGTTATTCTTGAAATAAACTATATTATATATATTAATAATTAGTGAATTGGACGTCATGATTTCGAGTTCGAAGTGATTTTCCATCTATTCTTCCTCCTGATATAATTTTCAGGGAATTTGCATGATTCCTTACTCGGTCATAGGGTGTATTTTTGGTATCTTTCGCTCCTTCAAATTGCAGAATCCCAACTCAACAATAAGGTAAGAACAGGGGTGCTTCCATTAGAAGGGACAGACACTGTATATATTCTCTTCGTCTTTTAATCAGCCGAACTGAATAACTGGTACCTGTACAATAATTATCATCAGAATGAGAATAATGATATAGAATTGCATACATACAGAACTACATATTAGATTCAATGAGCATAAACCGCGTATCGTAAAATTTCAAAACTTCAAGAGGAGACACTATGATTATTTCAAATTATTCCAATTTCATAATCAATGATTCTACTAGATTTTCATTCAGTGTGCCCCATACACAGGGTGTTACAAATTCGTGGCTAATCATGGTGATGATCTCGGTAACCTTGAGATATACAGAGTAGGTTGAATTAGAACAAAGTTGCACCATTGCATGCTCAACAAAATGCTGCTTTGGAATTGGACAAATTCCCGGAGAAAAATGAAAATATGCAAAATCGTTTCTATTTATTACTCAGTTAGTTTGGAGAGATATCCGTGAATAAATGTCATTGTACATCATTGCCACTTTTTCTCCTCTACAAAATGGGACTGTCAAATTGAAAATCCGACGTTTCTTCTTCGATCGGCCTTCATCAACTTTATTTTTTCACATACGGACCTGGATTTTTCAACATTCAAATTTGAAACAGGAGTTTTTTTTTTTTTGTCGAGGTGGTTTAAATCCTTTTTGGACACCATATGGGTCCTATCCCCCATATGGTAGTGTGGGACTCCCCTGACTCTAGCCAGGGTTTACCCACTAAAAACTCCACCCCGTTTGTAGGCTCGTCTGACCATGTCTCCGACGACACTTAGGCCTATGGTGGCCCATTGTATCTTACCTAATGTTCTTTATTGTGCCCACTCCATTATCTCTGTACCTTGAACAAGTCTGTACAAATCCTTCACTGGATGTGAGTTGAATATTCCTGGTTCGCCAACTGGTTGCCCAAAGATCTTCTGTCTTCTGCGGTCCAATGCCTCACATCGGCACAGTATATGTGCTACTGTTTCTGGTTCCTTGCCACATAATCTGCAGCTTGGGTCGCCATTGTACAGTCCCATTCTGGTGAGATGCTCCTTTACTGGCGCGTGGCCAGTCATGAGTCCCGTAACAGTTTTTATCTGTGCTCTGTTCAAGTTGAGCAGGTCTACAGTTCGTTTATGACTTGGTTCCTTAATTTATTGTTTCCCATGTCTGTTTCTTGGGATGTTTTCCCAGTAGCTCTTGTGTTTTGCCTGAATCCAGTCTTTAACTGACCCTCGTGCTGTACGTTTTGGTACTCCAAGAGTCTGTCCTGGATCTGGCTCGTTATCCGACCCTCTTCTTGCGAGTTCGTCAGCCTTCTCATTGCCAGCGATCCCCTGATGACCTGGCACCCAGATTAGCTTGACGCAGTTCCGGTCTGCCAAAGTTCTCAGTTCCCTCTTGCAATCCCATACCAGTCGAGATGTCACTTCCTGGCTTTCTATTGCCTTAAGTGCCGCTTGACTGTCTGACATAATACGGATCTGCTCGTTTTCCACAGCTCTCCTGTCATTTTCTTCCGCACATTGGAGAATTGCGTACACCTCTGCTTGGAAAACTGAAGGGTACTTCCCCAATGAGTAGCTGAGGCTAGTTTCCGGATGTTTGGAGTATACTCCTGCTCCTGACCCATTCGCAGTCTTGGACCCGTCTGTATACCAGATCTTTCCCTGCAGTATGGTGCTGAGTTCTCCGTCATTCCATTCAGATCTGTCTGGTATGGACACTCTGAATGAAGTGTCAAATATATATCGTTTCGAAATGTGATCTGTTCTCATATTAAGTATGTCCCTGTTCACTATTCTGACGATGCTCATATGTCCTGTTCCTATGTTAACATTGCCCAGTGTATTTTGCAGTCTTAGGGCACCAAGTCTCGCCTCCCCCTGTACCATCAAATGGAGGGGAGGCAGATCCAGTAGTGTTTCCATGGCTGCGGTTGGCGTTGACTTCATAGCCCCCGTGATTCCTAGACATGCAAGTCTTTGTATCTTGCTCAGTCTTGTTATAGCTCCTCTTTGTAGTGTCTTCTTCCACCATACCAGAGAGCAGAGATTCACGGCTTGACTTGATATTCAAGCTACTTGACTTGACTTGACTTGAAATCAAGTCAAGTTCAAGTCAAGCGAAATTTTTTAATGTCAAGTCAAGTCAAGTAATTATTCATCAAGTACTTGAAAAATCAAGTAGTTCAATCCAGCTACTTGATTTTCAGCAGTTTTATTGTGTATCTATACAGCGTGACTCACGGTCGATGTTATAGGTTAGACGTTCATGGAGAACGCGACGCGGGATTTTTCTGAAAATTTCGCATACACAAAAAATTCCTGAAGTTGAAAAATCTCGATTTTTCGCACTCTATATCTCCATAATCTTTTCCGCTATACCCCGAGTGTGATGTATCGATGAAATCAACTCTTCAAGGAGAATCTGAAAATGCAATAAAATACAGGGTGTTCAATTCGAAATAACAAAGTGGTTCCTACTTTTCTATAGAAGCGGCAACGTCGTGATTTTGAAAATATATTAGATCGATAGTACCGGTGATGAAATGTGAGATGCGAAATTTTCAGAAAAATCCTGCGTTGCGTTCCTATCATCCTATCATCCTACCATCGACCGTGAGTCACCCTGTATATAACTGATGAAATGAAAATGGCATCGTAAGACTGACTGCGCGATCGATTCAGTCAGCTCGGATCTCGGGGAACCCCCGTATTTTGTCTAAGCGTGAGCGAGCTTGCAGAAATATACGCCGTGCGACTCGTGCGTCGTGCGTATCAAGATCAAGTATTATCAAGTAGCTTGATTTCAAGTCAAGTAATAAATATCTCAAATTCAAGTCAAGTCAAGTACGTAATTTGCCACGAGCTTGATTTTCAAGTCAAGTCAAGTAGTTTGTTAAAATATCAAGCTACTTGACTTGATGAATCTCTGCCAGAGAGGCATATGTTATGGAAGGCATCACCACCCTGTTGTACAACCAGTACAGCATGTTTGGTCTCAGTCCCCATTTCTTCCCACAAGCGTCTGGTCATCATCAGTGACGTTACCGCTTTTTGAAACAGGAGTGGATTAGATTAGATTAGTTTTGAAATGGGGCCTTCGGGCTATCTGCCTCCACACTGCGACCTTTTCAGATCTATTGTGTCTGCCCTCAAAGTCGATTAGAGTTCTTCGGCTAGCCCCGCCTTCTCTATGAGACTCCATAGGCTAGCTTTCAGATCTCCTGTGTATCTCTGGGCTCCTGGTTTTTCCTCACCCAGCGTAGGGAACCTTAGTCTTGACAAGCCCTCACAGCGGCAAAGTATGTGTACTGCTGTTTCTTCCTCTTCTTGACAGAACCTGCACAGCAGTTCTTCAGTCAGACCTATCGTAATCATGTGTTTGTTGAGCCTACAATGACCTGTGAGAAGTCCCACTAGTATTCTAGTTGAACTTCGTTTCTGGCTTAGTAGATATTCTGTGAATGTTGGCGATGGTTTTTTAATAAACTCTTTAACCTGTCTCATTCCTTGCGAGTTGTTTTACCATTCTTGAGATTTGGTTTGCACCAGGAGTAGAATAATAAAATATGGTCTGTGAACAAGAGGCAATTTGGTATTTTTGCTACCCATCAAATTTCAAAATCCGACTTCGAATGATTCAGAAGTTACAGCACTGGTCAATTTTTGTGCACTTCTTTGCGTAATGGAAATTATATTGATATTCCACTCTTTATATAATATTCATTCCATCCCTAACCTTCACCCTGATTCCGCCACTGTGCCAGCTTTTCATAATAAATATGTCCGTTCATGAGAAATGATTCCAGCACCTGCTTAAAACTTCATGACTCGATGTTCATTTGTCTCCTCAGTAAATCCACTTTTTTCAGAAAATGGGGAAACAAGACAACACACTTATTCACAAGTCAACAAAATGACCAACAAACTCGCTAGGACGATCCACAAAACCATCGTGGCCAATAACCTCCAAAGGAACACGGACGGAGACTACATCATAGCCGTGAATATGCATCCCAGTGATAGTTTGGTGATGGTTTTGATTGCCATTTGGAAAGCAGGAGCTGCCTATATGCCACTGGATCACTCTTTTCCTGGTCCAAGAGTCGAACACATAGTGACTGAATCAAAACCGGTCCTGGTGATATACGACGAAGGTAAGAAATTATTAGTATATTATACACCAGTGAAATATCTGATGGTTTCCGTTGCCGAATTCAAGAAAATGATGATTGCGGGACCACGACAAATCGTCTTTCGTAAGTTATGTTAGCAATATCATAAAAATAGGTGCCCGTTGCATTCTCGCACTGTTGTTAGTAGGAATCTAGTTTTGTATCATCATAGAATCAATTCACTTGCAGTGAAACCAAAATACATTTTTGTTAAAAAGGGCTCGAGCATTTCGAAAGGATATTTAGTGAGTGGGATATTAATATACCAATGATAAAAATTGAGTATATCAATCAATCAACTTTATGATTCCCAAGAAACAACAAGTGTTTATAGCAGGGAACATGGTGAATACATAAAGAAGACAGTAAAATCAGACTCACACTCAAGAAGCAATCTTTTTTTTTCAAGTTCAACTGAAAATGATTCTCAACTAACTCCAATAGAAAACTATAGTAGTTGTACAAGAAAACTATAAAAATGAGATAAGATGTCAATATTACAGGAGTAGATGTTCCTTGAATTCCTTTTCAAATTTTTCAATAGTATTAATCAGCTTCAAGTTATTCGGTAGTAAATTGTATTATATCATTCAATTGTGATATATGGATTTTTACCAATATCTGATTTAATTTTCTTGACAGAAAAATGATCTGCTTGTCTAGTTGTATGTTTGTGGTAGACAGGACCTCTTAGACCAATACAAAACAATTTATTCAAGAGAACAACATCCATAACTGCGGACTCCGTATCACATGACCCCCGAAAGTCATATTGATAGCTGTAAAGATATTTCTTTGCCTCTGGATATCCTTGCAATCGGTAATTCATTATTTTTTCCAAAATTTTTGCAATAATTTATTAGTCGAACTAAGTATAGCAATGCCTGATTATTGCCAATCATTCTGTATTATACTGACTATTCCATTCTTGTTTTGAACAAGCAATCAGAATCGCTTAGTTTCACGGCATCTCCTGTAATTCAGCACTATTTTTGGGTTGACTGAAAATTATTGGACTTGCTCTACCAATACAGAGGCCGAATCAACCCACACGTGACCAACCAATGTCGTTTTTCTGTCATGTTCTTTTTACATTCACAAAGTCAATTATAATCTATGTACCTTATTATCAGTTCTCGACATATCATTCATTGTCTCCTTCAATCATGAAATAAATAGTGATCGAAATATCCGTAGATTGACTATGCCATTCGCGAAATTACTAGGCAATAAGCTGTAGTAAAATTCGCCGAATGTTTCCGGCAAAATAATATCACTTGTGGAATTACATATAACTATTCCACTCTAGTTTCCGAGAACCAATCAATCTTTGCATGGTTTTGAAAATGGACAACATATGGCTGAATGAATTGATGAACGAGCCTTAATTTCATTATTTTTGTTGTTAATATTGTTCAGGTATTCTCTCGTGCTCCACCTATATTCTTTCTCTTCAAACATTATTCAAACAAGAAATATCAGGTTATCTTCCAAGGAAAGTTTGAACAATGGTTCTTCCACAATCGAATCCATGTCGAAAAAAGTGGACAGGATGATGAAGAAAAAAGCGGCTTATGCGAATGTTTCATCGAAACATTGTAGGAGAAAAATGAGCAATACAAAATCTTGGTCGTTTCTTCAATTCATTCATTCCTATATTGTTTAATGTTCCAATATTCTTTACGTTTGAATATTAAGTAATAGCGTCAAAAACAAGATATCGATGACTATCAATATTTTTCTCTAAGGTTTCTTATAGTGATATTTCAAGCGCACAAATCCTCTGATATTTTCTAATTCACAGGTATGTTGAAATAACTAGGTACAGGGTATATATTCATGAGTTGAAGCGATTTATGAAGGAAGGAATGCTCGAAGTCAACTCCACAAATCTTAGAAAATACCATCTTCGGACTTATTAAAAGTTCTACAATACACAAAGATTGATCTGGAAAAGATTATTTGGTCATGACTCACTTGCAGTTTATAATAATAATAATAAATCGTCTTTATTAATGCAGGTATATAGTAGGCGCAGTTCAGCCAAAGGTTACTCTTACATTTAACCTAATATATATGTACAATTGAAGTAAATTGAAATGATAAATGGAAAGAAAGAGAAGATGTTTGAACGTAACATATAACAATGATATATAACATAAGTATGTAGGTAACGATAAGAGATTATGAGACGAGGTAAGTAAAGGCTGAAATAAGATACAAAGAAATACTAGTGTTTTTTTCAGAATGAATCTTATTTTTGTTTTCGAAAATTGCATACATTTAATCAACATGCAGTGCATGAGTTGGAAAATTAAGAGATAAGTGAACAACTTCTGGAACAATGACGTTTTATGACGATTAACATGAAATTGGTTTACTGTTCTTACATCGAATGAATGTATGAAACTTGAAATTTCTTTGGGAAGGTGAAGAAAACAATTTGTAGAGGAATTATTCAAAATTTAGAAAATAGGTAATTATAAACATAAGAAGTTCACTTGTGTAACCAGCTACTTGAAAATATTTCCTTGCAATTCACATAAAAATGGTTTATGTTCGATAGGCTGTCTATGTCATATTTTCTAGTAAGAACTCGAATAAATCAAAAACAGTTCGATTATGATAGTGGGTAACAATGATTCATGGATTGGGATCAGAATCATGAGAGGAATTCGAAATTGTAGTGAAGTATACAAGGTGTCCCATTAAAATTAACAAAGATGACGTAACATACTGACAAACCGAATGCTTCACAATTACAAGAATATGTAAGGTGGCTTCTCCATGTCTCCTTCACAGCCCCTACGAATTATCAGAATAGTGCTACTTTTCTTCCTCCATTGATCGCGTTTACTCATGAACATATGCCCTGTATAGAGAGAGAGAAATCCCATGAATGAATATTTTTTCCATTTATTTATTTAAAATAATTCTCTTTCGTATTCATAATTCAATGTCAAGTGATGATTCGATTACCTTCATTCTTTGTAAGAACCAAAAACCCAATCGTTCGATCCAGCAAAAATATCAATTGTTTCTGATATGTCGTGCCTTGAATTTCTGATTTTATGATGGAAGTATTTGGAATCTTCGAAAGATGATTTCGTCACTGACGGTTCTACGTATTTATAGGTATATCTGTTTGGGTTTTTGATATACAGAGTATTTCCTAACAACGGAACGGAACTTTACAGGGTGATAGGTCAACTTGAGAGGAAAGTTCCTATGAACATAATGCCTGGAGTTCGGAGATACAAAGCGTTAAAGTTTGAAGAAGCGGTATTTATAAAATATCATGAATATCCATAACGATTTGTTTGAAATTTTGTACTGTTAAACGAAGTAATGAGACGCTCATCCAGCCCTAACTATCCCTAAGTAGCCTCACCACAGTCAATGATATTGAGAAAAAGTACGCCACTGATTTTTTGTTGGTTGTATTCGTGTCAAGCAGTCGAGCAAAACAATTGAAGCCTCTCTATTGCATGACCATGAACAAAAAATTAGTTTTTCTACGGCTATAACACGAAATTACTTTTATTTTACTGTGTTCGATACTTTGTATGTCATCAATATTATTTTTGTATCTGATATCACAATGACATCCAAAATCTCATCGCTCATGGAATGTCATGTGTGAAGCAATGACAGCTCTGTCTAATAAACTGCTCCACATTTGAAGTGAGACAAGCGAACATTTTGTTTGTTTTCGAACCGTGATAACTTTGGATGAGATCAACCGATCTTTGATGTTGTCTCAGAACTTCGGTTACAATTCTCGCACGATGTGGTCGTGCATTATCATCGACCAGTACGAAATTGTCTCCAAAGTTTTGAGCTACTGGTATAACAACATCTCTTATACACATGTCATGATATCGAACAGCATTCATACTTTCCCTCAAAATAAACAACGTGGTGCGATGATTCATCATGATACCGCCCCATATCGTAACACCCCCACCCCCAAATGCCACCCGCGCCTCCATGTTTTCCTCCAGAAACCTCTCACCCCGTTCTCGCCATACTAAAATCCTACCATCTGATCTGAACATATTGCACCTACTCTCATCAACGAATAAACATCTCCTCCAATCAGCTATTCCCCAGTTCAAATGGTTCTGAGCCCAAAGTCTTCGAGCTATCCTGTGGTTCAGCTTTAACAAAGTACAAGATGCCCTCCTTCTCGCTCTCAGATTGCGCTCATGAAGCCTTCTTCTGATTGTCTCGTCTGAGACAACAACTCCTGTTGCATTTCTTAGTGCACAGTTCAGTTGTCCAGCAGTCTGTGTTCGAAGACGACGTACCGAAGTAACTAAGAAATTATCATTTCTATCTGAAGTCTTCCGTTGTCGTCCACCTCCGTGACGATAATTAGGATCTCCTGTTCGATCGTGACGACGGATTGCCCTGTATATTGAAGCTCTTGATGTATCGAAATACTGTCCAATGTCTTCAACATTCAAACCACCATCTCTCATTCTGAGAACCATTTGTAATTGTTCATTAGTTAGTCGTGGCATATGTTATTACAATAATCAAATGTTTGACAATTTCTGATTATTTTCCAGACAACATATTATACCGATAAAACTAATCAAAGATCGGTTGATCTCATCCAAAGTTATCACGGTTCGAAAACAAACAAAATGTTCGCTTCTCACTTCAAATGTGGAGCAGTTTAGATGAGCATTACTTGACGGGAAATCAGATAGCTACAGGACGAAGAAATCGAAAATGCCGCTGTTATCCATCATAGCCATAAAAAAGTTATAGTGTATAACTTGCACGGAATGCTAGTTGCCTACTCGAATGATTGCAGCGTTCGCCTACGGCTCATGCTGCAAACTTCATTCTCGTTCTATGAAATGATTATCTCGCCCATTTGTCTCAGACCTGAAACTCACTATTTTATCCTTTTCATTTCGAGCCAGTCTTTAATTTGTGTTTGTTTAAGTTTTTGAGAATTCCCGAATAAA